TGTTTAAGTATGTGTGTACGTGTGTCTGTGTGCTTAAGTGAGTACCTAAGTGTGTGTGTGTGTGTGTGTGTATGTGTGTCTGTGTGTGTCTGTGTGTGTGTCTGTGTGTGTGTACTTGCGGCGCGCGTGCGTCTTTTAGGGAAGGAGGCAAGAGGAAAGGGAAAGAGAGAGAGGTGAGGTTGGGGGTAGAGGAGGAAATAACAACAAGACAAACACAGAACAAGACACAGCTTGTAAAAGTTACCGTTAATATACAGGAGTTGGTGCTTGAATAGTTAAACAAGATAAATACAAGTGTCGATGTAAAGACAACATTATTAAAAAAGTGTATGCTTTATGCCCGTGTCAACATCAAGTTCCACAGTTTCAACGTAATCGCCCGCGCCATTTTTCACAGTTCAGTTCCCCCAGGGTCCACGAGCGCTCAAGTGTGTCTCTGTCAACGCTGATTTCGCCTCTAATGTCAATGACCAAACCCGCGTGCTAAATTATTACATATACGTGTACTTAAAAAGGATTGAGCTGTATACGTGGCACAGATCCTGTTTCGGCCCGTGTATGTTATTATTACAATTATTATATTTGAAGGACTTACGGGAGAGAAGTGGATATGTCACAACTGTGTTGATTTAAGGGTTGTGCCATTATTTCTTCATAATTAAATCTGAGGTTGTGGTGTGTTATTTCTTTTACGTTTGGAAAAAGACCTTTACATCCAACAATGCACATTACGCATGTCAGCAACAGCGCTTGTCGTTTATAATCATCATCAGCATCATCATCATCAGCAGCAGCAGCAGCAGCAGCAGCAGCAGCAGCAGCAGCAGCAGCAGCAGCAGCAGCAGCAGCAGCAGCAGCAGCAGCAGCAGCAGCAGCAGCAGCAGCAGCAGCAGCAGCAGCAAAAACAGCAACAACAACAACAGCAACAACAAAAGTAACCTCAGCAACATCAGTAGGAATACCTACAACAACAAGAACACTACCCCAACAAAAGCAGCAACGCTGTAATACCAACAACATTGTTACTCCCGTCTCACATTTGGGCAACCCCCACCCCTTATATTTCTTGCTCACTGGTTACACGTCATGTTTCCTTTTTGCCCGGAGCCACAACCCTGCCCAAATCCTACGCAACAGTACACACAGTATTAATAATGAATCTTTGTAATGGTCTTAATCAAGCAGTAGACTGTCGCTCTTATGACAAGATGTGACTCAATTTTAAAGATATAATATTATATACACAGAAGTTACATTGGCGTTATTTACAGGAATCATACACCGTTACATTCACTGCACAAGAGCGGGCGATGAGGTGGAAAACCAAGTACACATGCAACATGTATCTTGCTTTTTATAACTTTTAAGGAATTTTTTTTTTTTTTTTTTTGGTGGGGGGGTGTTGTTGGTGTTGTTATTGTTATTAATAGTGTTATTAATATCTATATTATTATCACTTATAGGTGCAGACGAGGGGAAAAGACAGTGTTATTACAATGTAATTTGTTTTAAACCACAAGGGGGGGGGGGGGTGGTTGTTTGTACAGGTGATTGTTGGCCGTTAGAACAGGTTCAAACTGGACATTGGTTTGTGTTACCTGCTTCTTTTCTTGTGTTATCGGTATGTTTTCTCACTTATGTTGCCTGCTTCTTTTCTCACTTGTATTACCTGTATGTTTTCTCATTTGTGTTACCTGTATGTTTCCTCACTCGTGTTACCTGCTTCTTTTCACTTGTGTTACTTGCTTGTGTAACCTGTATGTTTTCTCACTTGTGTTACCTGTAAGTTTTCTCATATGTGTTACCTGTATGTTTTCTCACCTGACGCACGCTGAAAGTGTTGAAACACCGTGATCAGTCGCGTGAGGATAAGTACCGTGACTGTCTTCTCCCTTCCCCCTCCCCCTCCCCCTCCCCGCCCCTCTCTCCTGTCTGCCCATAGTCTTGTATCTCCAAGATAAACAACACACGGCTTGCTCCCACTACCGCTATGACATGGCTAGTATCTTGGATTCTTCAGCAGATGTGTGTATAATTAGAAACTAGGCGGGCACCCAAGCCCGATGTTCTAACAAGAAATAGCGATTGTTGTGGTGCAAAGATTTTATTTTAATCAACCGCTGGACTTTTTTTTTTTTGCGCCAGTGACGTAAAATTAGTTCTATCGCTATTATTAGGCCTTCTATTATTCTTTCTTTGGATTACCTTTGACAAGGTAAGTTTAAGTTTAACTCGGCTATGCCATCCATTGATGTAACGATGCCTTTATCTAGTACCATGACAGACAGACAGACAGACTGACAGATAGATAGATAGATAGATAGATAGATAGATAGATAGATAGATAGATAGATAGACAACTATGTGCTGATGAATCGAGTCACGAAAAGACATCTCTTTCTCCGTAGGGTTTGTCTCTGTTACTGTTATTAAATTCTAATTTGGAAAGACTTTGACACAGACCCAGCGAAGAGCGAGGATTGACGGTGTTAGCGTCGTTCCAGACATTAAAGTTACATTACTACTTAGGCAGTGGACATTGTTCCCCTCAGAACATCGACCAGAGAAGAAAAACATTAATGGAATTAAGAAAAGTGACGGTCAGGAAAGCATTTAGTCGGACAGCTGTTAAAAAAAACTAAACCCAACATTTTGATTTTTTAAATTTCCGTTTCTCGACAGTTTCGGTTGCATGTTCTCAAGAAATATTATGTCAAAATTTAAATTCTAAAAGTTGAAAATAAGCAAGAAAAAATACCTTTGTTAAAGAATTAATATTAAACACTATTCTCTCTCCTGTAAAATTTTGCTTTCTGGGCTATGTATTTCTGAGCAGCCTGCTGACAATGTGTAGATTCAAATTCATATGTTTTGGCAAAGACCTAGTTCGAAAGCAGGCCTATAAGAAGTAGGTAAGAAGGACGAAAATTCAAGGACGAAACGCGAAAGTATCAGATACCAATAATAAATAATATCATTATCTCACGCCAAACAGCTGTCACAGGTAAGGACGTGTGATAAGTAATATTCAACTGAGGTTGCAATTCCTCTATTTCTGCAGTGGATACTACTGGGTACTGCTGTTACTCTCCAACTTAAAAATCATTGTAGAATACACATGTATTATGAAAAGGTCCACACATCCATTCTGTCAACCAGTGATTACTTGCTGAGTACCCGACTTTGCTCGGGGTCGACCCCTTGGCGTCACTACTCCTACTAATCTACGCCGTGGAGGCATTTTACAAAATCTACATTGCTGTCTAGCCTTTCACAGTCACACCTGTCTTCTAGTTTAGATACGGTCTACTTTGATTAACTCCTCTCTTGATCTACATTGCTTTAGTGTATTGCTGTCTAGCCCTTCACAATCACAAAATATGTAAATATGGGTTTCACCTTACACAATCACAAAAAGCGTTAAGAAAATATTAATCAACGAAAGGGATGCTACACTGTAAAAGGAACACACCGACGTCTTCAAAATCACAGGGGCGGTGTCTATAGCTTTTTCACTTTCCTCTGACAGAGTTAAAAATCCTAGCTCGTTAGCAAATTTATTTATGCCTACGAAACTTTGCATGGACCTTCTACAAGCTAGTGACCAAACAAAAATATTGTTTCAAAAATTTTTGACTCAGTAATGAAAAAGTTCTTCTCTATGGGCCATATATTAAAAACAACTCTTTGGGTGCATATACAGGATCACGTCTCCACGTACGGCAGGTGAGTCTCGAAAATTACTCACCCCATCTCTTGAATCGTGTTTCTTAGGCGAACATTAAAGAGCGGTAGCGAACTTCCGTTGTGAGGGAGAGCCGCACAGATTTGTTTCGTTTCTCAATAGAATAATCACAAAGGCTAAAGAAGGGTGGGAACTTTTTGTCAAATGTGTTTTTCTAAATAAAGGGAATGAATAAGTCTAAAATCGGGCTCCGCCATGGGGACCTATCTATCTTTTGCTGGTACTTGCCAACATTCAACTCTGTAGCTGTCGTAGTTTTATGGGAAAAGTGACTCACGTATTTCCAAGTTGCCATGTATATAATAGCTAACAGAGTGTATAAATAAAGTTCAGAGTTTGGAGAAACGTACAGTATGGACCCACAGAGTTCAAACGACTGTGATGTGACCGCTATGCTCTACAACGTTGTGTGCAGAACACGTGAGTTCGATTCCCCAGTGAACATTTTTTTAACGGGTATATCTGTCTCTCTACTAAAATGTTGTATCCCACTTAATCTGGTTTGGCCCGGACATGCAAGTTCGAAGCAGCCCGCCTTCAGAACAATCTAAACTGTGCCGATGGGAGTGTAAATATTTAAATCGTTATAATATTATTCTGCTATATAGGCCTACCCACTGAGCAATGAAGAGGATACCTGTATTACCTGTATTCGATGCATACAGTGGACATTTACCAGAATAAGTTTATCCAAACGGCATTGTTCTGTAACCTCAACGGTATACTGAGCTTTTCACGTTTGGACTTAAGTACTCAGAAGGTTTAATGTTCTCGGCCTGTCAAACTGTTTTAAGTGCATATTGTATACAGGCCTAAGATAGCATGAGAAACAGACAGCCGTGTGTGTTTGTGTGTATGTGTGTGTGTCTCTCTGTGTGTATGTGTGTGTGTGTATGTGTGTGTGTGTGTGTGTGTGTTTGTGTGTACTATGGGATGATGATCCAATGTAACTGGGATAGAGACGTAAAACGCTTCGACGTAAAAGAGATGGCCCATAATAGTAAGCGATTTACACCTCCATGGACACAATTTATGTTGTTTAAAGGGCAGTCTGCTTCAACTCCAAAGAGGTTATATTTATTACTAGAGTTCGTGGCAGGGATGTGCCCTCACGTAAGCGAAAGGGTGCTGGTTGTACCCACTCTTATATAGAAGAATTGTGCTTGCCCTCCTGTTTCTCTTCCTTGAAAACTAAAGAAAGAGGTCCATTGCAACTAGACCATCCTAATGACTTTCTCATCTCATTTCATTTCAGAGCACCTGGGCTTGGAGCTGAATCCAAGCTCAGAGGAAATGTCCGGTTCAATAGACAGGCCCTACTATCTGCATCGAGTACCAGAACAGGAATTTCAGCTCGTCCGGATGTGACCGAGTGTCACGGAAGTCAAGACCTCGATCCCGCGCTTTCAACACTTCCACCTCACGCACGTGTGTACTTATCCGGCTCCTTCCAGCGTCTGGACAACGGACCTACGTCAGTTTCGTACGACACAAGAGCACGAGTGAACTCGGCGTCTCACCTTTCGCATTCATCAGTGTCAGAAGGAGATAACGCTAAAAGTAGTACCAAAGAGGCTAAGGATTCTGATGGATATTGCGTCATCAAAAGTGCCGCCAGCGCCAGCAACCTCAGAAGGTCCGCAAAGGGCCCTCGCCTCAGCACAAATTCGAACAACGCAAACAACTCTCGGAGGGTCAAGGACTTTGTGAATTCTCGGAACTATTCCGTTGTCTTAACTGCCGATACTGCTTCTCTTCTACTCCAGTCCGGCCCACCATTAGTCATACGTTCTGCTTCTGACGTGACCTCGAGCAAGAAGTCAGGGGCAGTTATTCAGCGAGTGTCTGACGCTAACGTTGGACAAGAAGCTGAAGAAGATAGTCCTGTGAGACGTTCTCGCTCAAGAGGAACAACTGTTGACCGGAATAGCGGGAAGTCTGCTCACAGAAGCAGCTCCCACACATCGCATTGTGGACACGAGTCTGGACATGGTGCCGGTCTGCTCTACCAGACTTTGGGCAAGCCTTATCGCTCTCATGTTCAGCTCTACAAAACGACAGGAGTAGATTTCGAAAGGTCAAGGTCGTTCACAAAAATAAAGTCGAAGAGACATTCTTCAGAAGACTCACATCTGAAATCTAAATCAGCGACTGTACCTTCAAAACGCACAAATCCTGACATTTACCACAGCAGCCCAGGGGGTTTGAGGGCAGAATGGAATAGAAAATCAGCGCCGCTGATCCAATCGCCGTCTACAAACTCTTTCGCAAAGTCTTCCACACTTTTAAGCAGAACTCCCACATATGACGCTTACGACTCTCAACAAATGGCGTCTCGCAAAACAGCGTCCAGGCCGACAGACGGTGCCGCTGTGAGAGGCCGGAAAGGGAAACCGGCAACAAAAACGCTCACCCCTTCCAAACATGGCTTCCACCCACGCAGCCATTCTCCTACCTTCAAACGGCTCGTGGCAGCTTCAGACCGATTGTGCGACATCGTTTCAGCTGCAGAGAGTTCTGAATGCCAGTTATCCGTCTCCGATTTCAACGATTACGCCTATGAGCGCTATTACAACAATACCAGCAGTGATGGCGATAGTATGGTAGGTCCTGGTGTTCCTCATGAAATAGCGCATACTGAAAGTCACACAAGCGACTCTTCCAGAAACAAGGACATGATGGATGAACGAACTGCGCACCGGAAGTACACACACAGACACCGGGATAGTAAACGTTACTACGAACGGTCTGAAAGTCGTTCTGAGTCTGACGATTTCGAACCGAAAGTGGCGCATCAAGCGAGACGCCAAACACGCATACCGCCAAACCAACGGCATACCTCTCTAGAGAGAGGGCGGGTGGGGAATAATTTTGTATCTTCAAAAGATGAATTGGTGATGTCAAAAGAGGATAAGCGTAAGCAGTATCCGAAAGACTTGAATCTGATGAACGGGGCGATCCCTCTTCAAAATTCGACAACTGTTGTGGAATTAGAACCTCGCGCGAAGACTAGCCAGCCTGCCCAGTTACATTTCTTCCTTCCTCAGCTCACAGACGGCATGAGCGAGTCGTCTGGCCCTATAACGAGCAGAAGTCACTACTTAGAACAACGTCTGGACCTGCTCAACCGCAGAGACGGGACCTACGATCACGGGGAGAAGCCGAACAGTAAAGTCATTGACCCTGACAACAACAACAACCACAGAAGCAACAACAACACGAACGACGAAAATCGACACAAACCACCGAATCACATGACATCTGAAGGACAGTCCAAATCGCAGCAGCAGCAGCAGCAGACGTGGAAACAACAAAAGGGACGAAATCCATCAAAAGAACGCGTCACCGCTCGGGACTTACGGAACGGTCACCTGACCTTGAACGTGGGGAGACAATCCCCATCCAAAGACGAGACTGTCAAAGGTGCCAGACGACAAGTGTCTCCCTTACGGAACGTGTCCAAACCAGACAAAGCTCCCGGTCGGAGAAGGGTGAGCTATTATTCGCGGGAGCAACCTGTGTATATAGAGTCGCAGATGCCGAGTGAGGTGCTGAAAAAACAAATAGACGACTTTCCTACCTTAGTGTCTATGGATTATTCAGAACCAGAGTCGCCTTTACAAGTCAGGTGACCCACGTGATAATTTATGACTTGTACTGATTTAATTTATATCAATGTCTCCATGTGTATATAAGATAAGATAAGATAAGATATGATTGAGATAAGATAAGAATGAACTCCTACAAAAGAAATTTCATAATACATATTGTGCGCAAACACAAACACACACACACACACACACACACACACACACACACACACACACACATACATACATACACACACGTACATACACATACGCAAGCGCGCGCATTACACAGACAGACACACACTCACATACACACACACACATACATACTTACACAAAATCACATACACACGCATGCACGTGCACAAGCACACACATACTCTCTCTCTCACACACACACACACACACACACACACACACACACACACACACACACACACACACACACACACACACACACCACAGAGAGAGAGAGAGAGAGAGAGAGAGAGAGAGAGAGAGAGAGAGAGAGAGAGAGAGAGAGAGAGAGAGAGAGAGAGAGAAATACACATTTACAGACACAGACACACGGGCTCGAACAGGCACATTTTATGATATAAATAATATGTGTCAGATAAAGTTGAAGTGATTTTTCAAGTACTCCCTCCGCTTCCCTCCTTCTGTTTGCACTGGTTAGGATCAGGCAGAGATGGGACGAGTAATCTGAATATGAACTTGCACAGTATTCGTTTACCTTTACTTTGAAAAGTCACACCAGAGACTCAGTTAAGAATGAAAGTAAATCTTTCACATCTCATTGATTAACAAACAAATTTGACACCCCCAATCGAAACGGTTGAGATCTTTTAGAGGAGCGGGGGAGGGGGTGGGGGCAGCTGCTCCAACACTGCATGTCAGATGCAATCAGATAACATCGGAGCAGAAGGGTGTTAGAAGAACTTCGTCTCTTCGAAATCAAACTCTCGTCTTCTACCTGAAAGACAAACAATATAACCATTAACCCGTCCCGGCCACCCCCAAAAGACAAAGCTACGGGCATCTAATACATGTGCTATGTAGGCTACACCTTGGGGGAAAAGACAAGGTTGTTCCTTTTGAAAAGAAAAGTGAAAGTAATTTAGAGGAAAATTCTTTCATGAATGCAGGCTTTTGAAATGATTAGACTAAAAGCCATAAAATCTCTCCTAACAGGAAAGGCAAAGAATGAAAGGATTAGACACAGAGACATAAAATCTTTTCGGACATTAAAAGCAAAAAGTGAAAGGATTGCACGAAAAGCCATAAATTTTGATCTGACAATGAAGGCCATGAACTTTTTTCCCGTACCGACGATTGAGCTTAGGGTAAACGGAGCAGACTCCGATTTCCAACAACAATGAACATCAACAATCTAAACCATGCACCCGTCAGGAGACAGCCAGTATATCATCGGTGTTAGTGTTATAGATGTGTGTGTGTGTGTGTGTGTGTGTGTGTGTGTGTTTGTGTGTGTATGTGTGTGTGTGTGTGTGTGTGTGTGTGTATGTGTGTGTGTGTGTGTTTGTGTGTGTATGTGTGTGTGTGTGTGTGTATGTGTGTGTGTGTGTGTGTGTGTGTGTGTGTGTGTGTGTGTGTGTGTATGTGTGTGTGTGTGCGTGCGTGCGTGTGTATGTGCATTTTGTACTTTGAAGTCATTGCACAGTCGGCGCGATAACACTAAATAAATTACAATAATAATTGTGTCACGGAGTGGCGGGATCAGGCGCTCGTCAAATTTTGGGCATATATGGGGGGTTTTGGTATCATCCTAAAGCTTATTCATTTGCCTTCCTTTTGGTTAAAAGATATCCATCTAAGTTGAATAAATGTGGGATATTTGCGATTGAAGGAGATCAGGGTCGTCTGGTTTCAGAGGTAAAATTTGCGAGAAAAAGGCGCCTAAGTTTGGTAACTTCTAAAGCCTGAGAGTCCTTGGAAACTGAAAAATCACATTTTCGTGTACCTCTGATCAATGTTTTTCGGTAAAACCCTCACAAAAATGTGTTTTTAAGTGGACGTAAAAGGTGTTCAGCTGAAAAAAAGAACATTAATTAGTAAAAGAATGGTCATCACCCCCCCCCCCACACACACACACACACACACAAAAATGCCGATTTCGTTGATTTTATTATTATGACGAGAACCGGAATTCACCACAATACCTCACTATTGTATTTATGATTTCTTTTTTTTTTAAATTATGCATTTCCATGCTCCGCGGCATGCTCTGTGCTTTTTGCAACCATTATTACAATTGTTGTAATGTTTTGCAGAGAAGAGAAAAAGACTAGAAAACATTGAAATTAGATCATCGGAAGAAGACCACGCAAGACCACACACCAGCCACCTGCAAAGAAGGTCTACTGTGATAATTATTTCTGCATTTTGTATTAATTAAGATGGCTCCATTTTAAGTTCCCATAAAATTATTAATATTATGTTTAAAGGCATATAATAATAGGCGCAGTATGATTAATTTTGTAACATAGATGTTTTATGTCATGTCGCGCGACCGTTCTTATATTTATATACAAAATCCCTCATCCCCTAAATCCCCTTTTCTACACCTTGCGAATATTTTCATTCATCTCCATCATGCGTCATAAAATGTTTGTTCGGTTCTTCTGCACTGCCTTAACCCTTTCTCAATTGTGTTTCATCGTTACTGTCATTCTCCTCTTTAGAATACATTATGTACTGTTCACTTTTCTACATAGCTTGTTTCGCACTGCTAAAGTAACTGGTGATTCAAAAACGCTTATGAAAGTTTCTTCAGACAAATTAAATAATATTATAGTGGATACTGATGTACATGTAATATGCTGTCTTCCTTCCGTGAGCTGGTTAGGGGTGCTTCCTTCAAGAAAATACAATTAATGAAGCAAATGAGGAATAAACAACTGTCTATGATTTAATTAAAAATTCACGTGTTCGTTTCTTTTATTGCTATATCTGGCCTGTTTTGTAGGAGCAGTAGTTTATGGTGAGTCAGCAGAATATTTAACAAGTATTTGGTTCAGAAAAAGAAAAGAACGGCTATTTGAGGCAAAAAATAACAAGATTGGTAGATCGGATGGAAGAAAAAAAAAGGCGGGCTTGCCAGTGGCGCCTTCCAACCCAGACTAGAATAGTAGTAAGCGTCATATTTAAAAAAAGGAGTTGAAAAGCTGATGACATTGGAGCGCCCAATTGACCATACATGCCGTGCTTGAAAAGAATATTGTTATATTATCGGCATCACTTCTGGGGCAAGAATTGAATCTAATTTTAATGTTAGCATTGTGGCTTAAAGGGTGAGGGAAAAAACTGCTGGGTTTTTTTTCTTTCTGTTTTTTTTTAAGGGAAGTGTTTTTATGTCCCTACAGACACAGTTTATTTGAAGGCAGGCTTCCACCCCGACTGCAGAGGCCAACCTAGGCCTAGAAGGGTACATGTACAATGTTCCATCAAAAAGAGACCAAAATATGACTCAATAAAAATTTCTACGAAGTCATCTTCTGCCCGTGACGACGAAGTTTTAACCGCTACACTACAGATGCCAGTATTTTTCTGGTGGCATCGGCGATATACCAGTGGACTAAGTGAAACGACAATGTAGGATAAAAATTATACTGAAGGTGACCAAGAAAGATGGTGATGATGAATAACAGCTCAGTAATAGCAGTAGTACATGTACATATCGGATACCGCAATTAACTCAATAGCCTGTGTCGAGACTGAAAGGACTTTAGACCTGCTATAGTTAAGCTGTGTTTTATACAGTGAGACTCAACACTTAGTTTGTCACATCAATTTGAGCAACAGATATGAATAACATTCACACTATCCTTTTCATCCGGGTTTCCCAGAGCTATCCTTTTTATTCTGGGTTTACAGAGACAGCCTTTTCATTTTGATTTCCGAGGAAACTGAAAATTTACTTTTTCTGTGCTTTTAATTAACGATTTTTTCAGGAAACTCGAGACAAACATTAGTTTTTAATTGGACAACAGAAGTGTTAAGCCCCCCCCCCCCCCCCCCCCCCCAAAAAAAGAAGAAAATTCGATAAAAATTATTTATTCATTTTCATTATTTTCACGAGCGCCTAATTTCACCACGCTGCCTCACGTTTTAATTCTGATTTCCCAGAGCTATCCTTTTCATTCTGGTTTCCCATGACTACCCTTTTCATTCTGGTTTCCCGGAGCTAGCCTTTTCATTCTGGTTCCCCACAGCTATCATTTTATCTCTGGTTTTACAGAGCTATCCTTTCCATTCTGGTTTCCCAGAGCTATCCTTTTCATTCTAGTGTCCCAGAGCTATTTTTTCCAGGACGAATATAACAAAGCGACAACAGATTTCTTCGGACACACAATGCGGAAAGAAGCATTGGAGAATATTGTAACAACAGGGAAGTTTGATGGAAAGAGAGGCAGAGGCAGACAGAGGGAAACGATACTGGACAAGATGACAACATGGCTAGGAGCAGCAAGAACAACAGACACCATTGCTGCAACGAAAGGCAGAGTAAAGAGGAGGTCCATGATTGCCCACTCCAGTAGGCAAGGCACCGGATGATGATGATGATCCTTTTCATTCTGGTTTCGCAGATTATACTTTTCAATCTGGTTTTCCAGAGCTATCCTTTTCATTCAGGTTTCGAAAGGCTATCCATTTCATTCTGGTTTCCCAGGGCTGCCCTATTCATTGCTGGTTTCCGATAGCTATTATTTTCATTGTGGTTCCTCAGAGCGATCCATTTATTTTTGGTTTTACAGAGCTATCCTCTTCATTCTGGTGTCCCTGAGCTATCCTTTAAATTTTGATTTCCCGAAACTATCCTTTTCATTTTGGTTTCCAAGAGCTATCCTTTTCAATTTTGTTTCAAAGAGATAACATTTTCAATTTGGTTTCACAGAGCCATCCTTTTCATTGTGGTTTCCCAGAGCTATCCTTTTATGTCACGGCGTGGTGAAATCAGGCGCTCGTCAATTTTTGGGCATGTGGAGATATTGGTATCGTCTTAAATTTGTTCAATTGCTTTGCTACCGGCGAAAGAAATGCCCATCTATCTTGAATAGAAGTCAAGCTATTTGAGATTGAAGAAGGTGGGGTCACCATTTTTCAAAGGTCGCCAACGTTTGGTTATTGCTATAGCTTGGTATTCTGTGGAAACTGAAAACTCACTTTTTCTGTGCCTTTTATCAACGTTTTTCAGTA